GCCTGTCACAATCGGGTCCGTCACCAGCCCACTGAACAGGAAATCAAGCAGATAAGGCCAGGAACTGGACAGACGATCCAGCAATTGTCTCTGATACCGCTGCAGAAACATCCCGATGCAATGAAACCGACGCTGCAGCGATCGCAAATGCAGACATTGGCGAACGAATCGGGCCCATCGGCCACCGCAGCAGCACGAAATCGACGGCTGCATACTTGCCCTAGAGCGGGCCACAGCGCTCCGCTCAGGCAATCAATCAGGGTCGGAAGGGCGGGAAAAATCAAATCTTTGGCAGAGAAGATCTCCCCTTTTTCGCCAAAATGGCATCGGCACAAACATGCAATTCAAAGTGCTTGATCAAGTCACGCAATCGAATTCAAGGGGGGGGCAAGCACCCCAAGTCTTGCTTGATCTTCAATTTGAGGCCCTCATGATCGTAAGTGACCCCTAAGATCACCGGCTGTCCAAAGAACTGCAGCTTCTCTTGATCGAAGCGAGCGCCCAACCACCAGTGTACCTTCTGGACCAGCAGAAAGGCGGACTCGATTGAGTGTCTCCGCCCCTTCAAAACCAAACTTGTTGTCATAGAAATTGAAAGCCAAATTCCGAAGAGGCCCCGGAGCACGTCCGTGATCAAAGCTGAGCGTCTATTGTAATTATATATAGACTGCCCACACCTTTGGCCACTGAAGGCTTCGCGATCAAGAAGCCGAAGGTCACCTTGCGCGAACAGGACCCCGTGTCCTCCCTCAAGGCTGCAGAGGCGGCCGAATTGCGAAAGTGGGCTGCCAGATTGGAAGCCATCGCAGTCCGGGCAGGTGATGGGGCGGCGAGTCGACCTGGCTCGGCACTTTCGGAACGTGATAGCCTGGAGCTGCGTGCTTTGGTCTTCGCCTCGCGACACTGGGAGCGGTTGGAGTCATGGGCGCAGGCGCATGCAGCCCGGATCTATCCTCTCAGTGAGGAAACGCTCGCATGCTACTGCCTGTGGTTGGCCCGCGAAGGTTGTGGTCCGACTGTAATTCCTTCGGTTTGCCATTCTGTCAAATGGATCCATTATCGGCTTGTATGACCATGCCGGATGCGGATGCAGTGAAGGTTGTGGCAGTGCAGAAGATGGTTATCAGCGAACGAGGCAAAGAGCTCAAAGAGGCCGTCCCCATCCCAGTGCGACTGGTTGCCATGTTGGAGAACACCGTTCTGCATTTCGTCAAGGTCGGATCCGACCCGGCAGCAGTGTTCTTGTGGCGGGTGCTGATTTTCCCTCAGGTTCAACGATGGCATCCATGTGGCGCCGGACTCGTTGGAGATGACCGCCGAGGGTCTGGTGGGAATGGTCTGGCAGACAAAGGTGGACAGGAAACGCCGGGGCACAAAGTTCGCAGTGCCCGGCTTCCATCTCGGACGCCAACTGGCTGCAAGAGCGAGACTTCTTCCTGTGATCTGAAACCTCTGGTCTGCCCTTGGGTCTGCAACGATAATCCTCCTGGACGTGTTGATCATGCGCAGACGCTGGGCCAGCACCTCTTCAGCTTCGGCGGAGGGGTCCATGGCCGGAAGCAGCTGAATGAGTTTCCACGGCTCGTCCCCATTGATCGCCATCAGTCTCTCAGACTGGTCCATGGCCACTGATCCCAGGGCATCACGGAAAGGCTGATCGAACAAAGGAAGGGCGAGAATCTTAGCTATCGAGCGATCCATGTGAAAATCTGCAGCGTGATCATGCAATCAAATCATCCGAGCAATCACGAGATCCATCATCAAAGAAATTGGGATTCTGAAATTGAAGTATCGCTCAACCTCAAACCCCGAAAGATCAATGACTGGAAAAGTTGAACTAGCAACATAAGGGGGGGGGGGAAGAGAAAGGGACCAAGACACTTTCACAAGGGCCCCCAAAGCCGCGATCGGCATGCTCCCAGAACCGACACAAGGCCCCGATCGGGCGCTTGGTCTGTCCTCTGAGGACAACCCTGGAAAGGCGCAAGATCCCCAACTCCCGCCCTTTCGATCTCTCTCGGGCCCCGCCTATCAGCATCGACAGGGGCTCGGACCCGCAGCGGATCACGCCACGGGGAGCATGTTTCCTCAGGTAGCGACCCTCACCCGCTGTTGTGATGAGGGCCAATAAAAGCACAGGGTGCAAGACGGCAGACTCGGTGTAACACCAAGAAAGGGACAGGGAAGCTTCGGGGCGCAGAAAATGACCTGTGCAATGGCCGCCAGGCCTCCCCTGCCCTAACTCGGTGTAACACCAAGAAAGGGACAGGGGAGTGCACCGGGGCTCAAGCAGCAGAGCCGACCTCAAAAGATCAGAAAGGCCCACTAGTGGGGGGGGTGTTGGGAGATCACGGGCTTCGATCCAGCCTATCCGATCGAAAGGCCCCTACTCCACCCATCACCACTTCCCCAATGCCCCCAAAAGAACAGGGGGAGGAACACCAAACCAGGAACCCAGCCCACAAAGTTCAACAACATCTCCGCCCAATCATTGGGGTCTCCCGGCAATCGCATCTGCTAGGTCTGACCCAGGAAAAAGAACGGCACGAATGACTGCTCTAAAGCTGTGCGACTCCTGTGCCTGATCAGGCTCACTGCTGGCTCGGTCCTAACGGATTAGGGT